ATTCACATAATTGGTCATGCATATGACTCACACAATTGCAAGAAAACAATGATAAATATCGACGTGCTTTACATTTTAGTTTCATTATCCTGTGATAATGCCTGCTAAAGAAAGACAACAAATAAGCTTTCTTGGTTATAGCCATTTTATTTAAGTTAATTATCTTTGGATCGCGTTTGTTATTACATTTATATCGTGCATGATAAAGTTTTCTCACCTTATTAACATAGCGATGGAGCTTTGAAGACTTCGGTATGTCAATCATTGAAATCTTTTTGAAGACAAATTTTGATAAGTGTTCGCTTTGATTCTCGATAAATTTCACGATGGAAGGTTCACTCAATTTCTCGATAAGTTTCACGATGGAAGGTTCACTCTTAAGTGATCGCTCGTAAATTTGTCTCTCCAAATATTCACTCTTAAATTTTCGCTCATAAACTAGTGCATCGTAAAGGTTGGGGAACGTTTCGTTCCCCAAAAAGCTATAATCTTTCTCTTGACTGTCCTCCATGCCTCGTTCTTTTCAAAATGGCGGATAAGATTTCAATGAGCCAGCGATATATCTGAGTCAGCGATATATCCCTAACAATGTAACGTTGAAAAAACGGACCGTCTGCATTTTAAGACCGGTGCCAGCCTTCGGCTGGGCCCCGGTAATTAATGGTTCGTCTTCAGCACGGCAGTAGAAGAACATCTTACTTAAAGTTGATTTGTTTTGGACAAAATCTGTTTTACTCGACTGAATCAGTCATGCATTAGTCGTGACATTCGTCAGCCACCCAAAGCACTCGAAAGGTCATGTTTGATACATGACTTGTCAAGACCTATATATATACCTAGAATGTCCCAGAAGTTACCTCTGACCGAATTTCTAGAGTTTCCCTCTTACGTACGTTGTTTTATTGTTATTTTAAACCCTGTTTCATGATCAGTTGTGAATATACTGAAAATGTGTCGTCCCTTTTACCAATGTCTTACTCATTATTTATTCATTTTAATGATTCAGGCTAATTCGATCAAATACTTAACTCAACAGCTGTCAACTAATTAGCCAAAATAATTGATAAGAATATCTATGGCATATGGCTTTGATTCGTCCCTTCAGGCTCCCGCCCTCCCTACTCCTCTCAGCAATGACGTGCCCAAAAAGGACTCATTTACGCCCATTTTAGTCAAAATTCAACATTGTTTGGGCTGGGGGTATGACGTACATTTGCGGACAAAAATAATTGAAAATGAAATATAATTTCAAGTTCAAAAATTAGACTATCCATGTCGAAATCTCGTCAAATGAATTTGAAATCGCAATGAACGCAGTCGAAATAGCATCATTCGAACTTGAAGTTACTTTGAACAAGCTGAAACTATAAAGGGAAAACTCGACATCGCGGATGTTGAAGTTCAAATCACCATTCCAACTAAAATGCAAATTACATGATTTGAACTTCAATTCACCTTCTCCACTCCAATAAGCTTCTTAATCGTCAACAATGCAACCATAATCTTCCACAAAATTCCAAATGAAATCTTTAATTTGAACTTAACGTCACGTCACATATTCGAATTCGAAAAGCCAAAATTTCAATTCGAAGGGAAGCGGAAGTAAAAATACACAGGAACCGGAAATGATAAGAGTTTCGCTACACTGTACGTATGGGATGTTTGCATAACTGCATTTTGGCCCGAAAAGATTTCCCTTCACTCAAACTCTCTGGTCAATATATGGCGGACAATGTGAATGATAAGGGTGACTCTAGGACAATCCAAGAGATTGTGAGGGCTGTCGTGGCAAACTTAAGAGTGGTTTTCTGTAAAATTCGAACTTCGGCCTGACACGTTATCTGGTCGATTTGGCTAATTTTTGGCATGTAGTCTTAGAATGGTTTCCTAAATACTGAATGCATATTCTAAGGTTTGAATTCTCTTTGGTTTCAAAGATACAGGAATGACAGTTTTAACGAGACCTCGAGGGGCCGCCATGTTGGTGAACTGAAGGAGGTTTACTATAATTAATTCTAAGTTCATCATTAAAATAACGTAATCGTGACTCATACAGTTGCAAAGAATTATCCTTCCTCCTTTCATTTACCTTTTTTATATCCGAAAATAGTTTAGCCTGAGCTACGAACGGCTATACTGTAACTTCTCACAGCACTTTTTCGGTACTTAAAAGGTACACAAATTTAGTAGAAATTGGAAGGCCAATATCACCCATGCCACATCGATTTAGAGTAAGCCGTTTTCACTAAACATAGTTTGTTTATAGATAAGTTAGATTGTTGAATAAAATAATTGGGCAAATGTAATGGAGCAGAACTACAGTTGCATGATTTGAACAGATAAATCCAGAATTAACCATAGTAAACCTCCTTCAGTTCACCAACATGGCGGCCCCTCGAGGCCTCGTCAAACCTGTCATTCCTGTATCTTTGAAACCAAAGAGAATTCAAACCTTAGAATATGCATTAAGTATTTAGGAAACCACTCTAAGACTACATGCCAAAAATCAGCCAAATCGACTAGGTAACGTGTCAGGCCGAAGTTCGAATTTTACAGAAAACCACTCTCAAGTTTGCCACGACAGCCCTCACAATTTCTTGGATTGTCCTAGAGTCGCCCTTATCATTCACATTGTCCACCATATTGACCAGAGAGTTTGAGTGAAGGGAAATCTTTTCGGGCCAAAATGCAGTTATGCAAACATCCCATACGTACAGTGTAGCGAAACTCTTATCATTTCCGGTTCCTGTGTATTTTTACTTCCGCTTCCCTTCGAATTGAAATTTTGGCTTTTCGAATTCGAATATGTGACTTGACGTTAAGTTCAAATTAAAGATTTCATTTGGAATTTTGTGGAAGATTATGGTTGCATTGTTGACGATTAAGAAGCTTATTAGAATGAAGAAGGTGAATTGAAGTTCAAATCATGAATTTGCATTTTAGTTGGAATGGTGATTTGAACTTCAACATCCGCGATGTCGAGTTTTCCCTTTATAGTTTCAACTTGTTCAAAGTAACTTCAAGTTCGAATGATGCTATTTCGACTGCGTTCATTGCGATTTCAAATTCATATGACGAGATTTCGACATGGATAGTCTAATTTTTGAACTTGAAATTATATTTCATTTTCAATTATTTTTGTCCGCAAATGTACGCCATATGGGGGGGGGGGGAAGGTCTTTAGTTACCAATCTCACTGGAAAAGTCAAAAAAACTTTTGGCCTTTATTAATAACTGTTCCCTAAAAAGACCTCGATTATCAAAACTTATCCGCGGCTTTTGTTTGATCAATTAATAACAAGCTCCTGGTATGGAAAATTTTTGATTGTAATTGAAGACATTGATTTCAATCAAGCAAGTACAACGTATCGCAATTATTGACTCAGCATTGCTAAATCATTAATGTTTTATTGATTGTTCGCTCTACAGTCATAATTGATTTTTTTTACTACAACAACAACAACTTTATTGACTTTATCTTCGACATGAAGATTTCAGTACCAAAACAATAACAAATGAAAAAAAGTAAAATAAAAGCTAAGTAAGAAAGAAAGGAACAATTTAATATTATCATAAAAGAAAAAAATTACTTGGCTATGTACGGCTTCTACGCTACTCATACGGTAAGAAAGTTTAATTAGAGTTCAGAAACATAACAATTTAGAATATTTTCAATATAAGAGGCACTGAGATTTAAGATGTTTTGATCGCACATGGATCCGGACATGATGTATAAAAATAGTGCCTCGCAAGACATATTCGTAAAATTACTGTTTATCGAGTATAGGCTCCCCAAGAAGATACCCCTTAAATGAGAAAGTGATGAGTGGGTACATTTCAACAAATAGTGGAATTCATCACCAATTTCGGATCTATTACAAAGGGGGCAAAGCCTCTCAACTCTGGGTATCTTCTTGTAGCGCCCAGATTCAATAGGTAGCAAGTGGCAAGAAATTCACATTTTGGTTACTGCCACTCTTGTCTTAACATTCTTTATTAAATCAAGATAAGATTCAAATCTGACTTCGTTTTTCACTTCCTATACAGAATTAATTTATTGCCAACTGACGAGTTGAATTTATCCTTGTTCAGACTTTTCGACCAATATTCTTGGTATTCTTTAAACAAATTTCTCTTAAACACTCTAACCAAGTGAGGAAATGTCCTATAGTCAAGATGTGGCAGATTTGGGGTATAATCATTTAATTTGGTAAAGTATAATAGGTGTCTTACAGTAGTGAACCATGAATGCTTACAGGGGCAGATCTAGGAGGGGGGGTGCAGGGGGTGTGTACCCCCCCCCCCGAGATGACCTGCGGTTTTCTAATACAACTGGTATTCTGCAAAAAAAAAAAAACTATGTGGTTTATTGGTGTTGAAGTAGAGCAAGAGACGAGTGCACCCCCTCCTAAAAAAAATCCTGGATCCGCCCCTGGCTTACCTACATTATTTAAATGGCTGTTTATCTCTAGGGCGCTATTTAAAATTTGGTTATTTTGTAAGGTAAGTAATCTTAAGAAGTACTTAAAAATTCTAGTGTAAATAATAAGATGAAGAGGAAAACGTCCGAGTTCTCCCTTCACAGCATGGTTACTTGCTTTAAAGTGAACCCCTAAGGCCATTTTGCATACCTTGTTATGCATGTTCTCGGGTGTTATTCGTTCATCAAAAATTCTCGAGACAAATTTTTCATAGTTATTCCCGACTGATAATAAAAAAAACAACCCCAAATTTCACAGTTGTACAATAGGATTGGGCTCACAAGGGAATCAAAAAGTTTAACAACTGTTGAGACAGATGCACCATTGTAAATATTTACCTCTGACAGGAAACTAGACTAGAGTCAAGTACTAGAGTCAACTAGAGTCAAGTACTACGCACATGATGGCTATTCACCTAAGAGATTGGAAGATGTATTCCAATACTGATCTCTCCCATCGTTTTGGTTGGTGATGGTTTATTTAGTACTGTCAGGTAAACGAGCATTGTGTGACTGGTCACTAATCAGTAGGCTTCAAATTCTTTTGCCAATCCGATTCAGAACCTGATAAGCTAATATCGGAGCTGACATCGGCATATTCTCCCTCACTAGCACTCGCACCACTGGCCTCGCACGAAGGCCTGGCATTATGAGTTCCACGCGTGACGACACGCATGTGATCGAGTCGTTCTTGTGCGAAGGAAATTTCCGTGTTGAAACCCAGACATACAGCTCTGTCCTTCGCTAAACTGGCAAAATTTTCAGCCTTTTGATAGTTTCTCTTTCGGTATTCTAAGTCTGAGCTTGCCAGGTAGAACTGAACTTTTACTCCTTCTGCGATCTTTGACCAGTATTTGGTTTCTAGCGTCTTTAGACACCTCTCGCCTTTTGCGATGAACTCTTCGCTCAGAACGCGTTCACGCGCGGCTTCTGTGCGGCAATCGAGCAAAAGCATTGCAGATTTTATGAAAGCAAAGTGATGTTTCTTCACATACAATTCCTCATCTTGCATTTCAACGCTCAAACAAACATCGATACACTTTTCGAAATTACGTAAAGCCTCCTCGACTTGTTTAGGGCTCCGCTGAGACAGGCGGCCGATGAAATCTAACAACACGTTCGCTCTCTCGTAAGCAATGAAGCTCGCATCAAGGCTCGTGTGACACGCGCGAATGTTTTGCTCGGCCAGCTGAACGTCCCGTTGAGCTTCGCCAAGGTTCCGCTGACGTCTCTTGACACCAGCGCGGTAGCCGTAGCCCCTTCCAGCTAAAACTCGGACGTTAGTGGCTCCCGACATGAGACCGAAGGACTCGTCTATTAGCTGTAAGGAGCGTTCCAAATCGTTCTTGTAACAGGCCGCCACGCTCTGCTCTAATTTAATGGCAACAATTGTGTCAATATCTGTATATGATAGCAAAAGTTTACTTGCGCGATCATCGAAATCGCTCCACCTCGCATTGTCACGAAGCGATTGTAACTCTTTCATCACCCACATAGATCGCCTCAAGAGCTCCATACCTTCTTCAGTAAGCGAGGCAGGTTCCAACGCAGACTGTGGGGTTGCATTTCTTGTTGCCAGCGCTCTTCTTTGCTTCCGTGAGTTACACTGTTTCGACCCCGTTTCCAGCTTGATTGTGATCTCGCTCACCGTTTTCCTCAAGCTTTGTTGTTTTTTACGTTTCTTTTCACTCTTCTTCGTCGTTGGACCGGTTTTCAGAGCGAACGTGACCAAGTACATTGTGTTTGGCTCATAAAAGCGGAAGTAAAACCCAGCAACTCCTGCCATGGATCGTTTCAAGCCATTTTTGGTTTCAGTTTTGATACGCATGTAGTCGCAGTCGACTGGATCACTACCTTGGCCAGCATCTCGAGCAACTGTCACTGTTATTTCGTAATTCTCAGAAATGTCCAGTGTTTCTCTCGTGTTTTGATTCTTGCAGACTAGGAGCTGGACCAAGTGGTCGTTTTTGCGATCAGGGAAGCCGCATCGACTTCGTCCAACGCGCAGTAAGCCGTCTGGTTTATAATATTCTTCCAGAGTCGGTTCATTTTCACGTTCGTCGTCTGTGCCACCAAGAGAAGCAGGAATCGTGTCCATTGAACCGATAAATATGCCATTTTCGCATCCAATTTGCATGACTCGTGCATCGACGTCGAAAACGTACGCATCATCGCCTCCTGCTTGCTTTATTTTTCCAATTCCGCCGTCGTTTGCTTCCCCAATCTTTTCTGGTGGAGACTCGATCAAATCACTGTTTTTACCTTCAACTTGCTTTAAATCTTGAAAACAATTTGTCATCTCTCTTCCTAGTCAAGTGACTCCAATTTTTAAAGACTCGCGTTAGAATGATACAAAGTATGAAAAAGTATCTATACAATGAACTTTCGATTTAAAAAAATGTGTTGTCTGGGCAGGGCCCGAAGGGGATTCCCCGCTTGATTTCGATTACTTCCGAAGTATTCACGAATCCTCGGACGTTCTCCCGAACACAAGTTCTTTACCCATAATTCAACGGAGTTCTTGTTGTTCCAGCATATTTTTGACTGGTGAAATACTATAATGTATTCCAAATACATTCGCAAATACATTTTGGTGAACTCGGCTTCTCCGTCGAAACTCTGGCAAAAAGATCGAGCAATTAAGGGTAACTTTCGTCATGCACGGGATTAGCCGCTTAAACGAGCAACACCGAGATGCTGCTATTTTATGTCAATTCTGAGCTAAAGTCATTTCTTAATAGAGAGTTTTAGATCGGAGTTTACCACGAACTTCTGACCGCGGTTTGCGGTTACCCGTTTGCGGTTCGACGTTCAAACATAATACGATTTAGATTGGCGGTGGATTAAAGAAGTGGATTCTGGTTTATTTTTCCATTTAGAAACAGAAGAAATATTAATCAGTGAAAATACAAGAAATTTAAGGTAACACTGGGTTATCTAGCAGCAAAGAGCTGTAAATTCTTACATTAGTTCTTCTTGCAAATTTACGGCCACCATTTTGAATCAGCAGCCATGAATGGCACTTGTTTTCAAGATCCAATAGGATTTATCAAACTTAGCATTTCGCCCGACTTTTGTGCCTCTTTTATTGAATAAAGACTTGCTCCACAAGATTTTTGTATCATTATGTGAGACAAAACAAGAATTATACGCTAAAAACTTTCAGGTAAATGACCTACGTGAAAACCTACATCCCCACGCTGAAAACGCACGTCGTAAACCTCAAACGTGACGCGAAAGACTTGTCACGTGACCTCCAGTGGTTAAAGGTTCGCGGTAAACTCAGAGCTAAACCTCTCTAATGCCTTAACCCATACAAAAAGTGTTCCTTTTGAGTTATGAAAAAGATATCAAACCAGCCTCATCAGGGAGGACTATAACCAAAATATTTTTGAGCTTGAAAACTTGAAAAAGTTGGCCCAATTTTTTTAGGTTTCAGTCCATGTTTATCCTTGTCATCCTTAGCAATAGACGGTAGGAAACAGATTCAGTTCCTAAACTCTTCAAACAAACCTGGACCAAATGATGCGAAGACGGATTTTAGCTTTTCAAAACTAGCAAATTGCATAACATAGCCCGCCTTAAAAATCACAGCCCAGAAATGTCATTACCACTGCAAGTTTGACCAACTCCAGAAAATCCAAGAAAGCAGTTGCACGTAAAAGATCCCAAGTTATTTGTACAAGACGCATTTGAATTACATCAACGAATGTTGGCTGTACACTCGTCGAGATCTTGAATAAAAGAAAAGGAGAGGCAAATGAGGAGAGTAAACTAACAGTCGAGAGAGAGTAATACAGTAAAAACCCGCGACTAGGGCCTTTATTTTCCCAAGTTAGCCTTAACAGATTCTTTGATAAATGTTTACTCAAGAGCACACTTTTTAGGTTCTTAAATAGGTTCTTATTTTCTGAAGAAAAACAAAACATCGTAGCTAAGAGCATGAAGTGGTGTTCAGCTCATTCCCTAGGTAAACCCTGTATACTTGTTTCAGATTGCAATAACTGCAGTTGGAGTAATAAGAGACCTATTCCTCCAAAGAGGTTCCTGAAGGTTGCCTTATCCAATTTGCCCGAGTGTACAGAATTTTCGATTTCGAAAAATAAGAACCCGTTTCAACTTTTTAGGCCAAACACGTTCTTGTATAGAAGGGGTCTGACTGTCAAACTTTATCGTAAAAGGCTCTTAAAAACTAGGTTCTAAGTCGCAGATTTTCACTGTAGTTTATATCGCATTAATTTTAACACCCTAAGTCCGTCTCGGCCGCAAGAGAGTATGAAGGGGCCCTGTTCATGATCCCTAGGTTCGGACGGGTCCGAGAGTTTGAACCCGTGAACTTCAATATATTCTGCGTCCAGTTCAGCACAAATTGAGCTATTAAAAACCTTCCGTGACTAAGGATGCTAGGAAGTCGGGAATAAAAAGGGATTTGAGCGTGGCCGATCAGGCAACCAATGTAAAATACTTTCGTTACTCTCCTCAGCAACGGTCCTATTCAACAATTAGCCTTTCATAGAGTGGCAAGTAATACTAAGTAAAAATTAAATAGGCCGTTCATGAGCCAGTTGTATCGAATGTATTTCAGTGTTATCGTTTATAATCATATCTTGTATCAGAGTTGTTCAAAATCAGAGGGAGAAAGAGGGCTAGCCAGACTTCCAATCTGCCTTACCTCTTTCCTTTAATTTTACCGAGACCACCACATCAAAAAGAATTTAAGCTTCGCGTATTCGGCAAACGGCGAACGTCAGATTCAAGTTGAAACTTTCTCAAAATAGAAAATTAGCAGATAAAAACAGCTCAAAACAATTCTTATGAATGAAAAATTGCGTGAAACTACTAATTTATGTGTAGAAATAATGAACAGTAAACGACAAGTAATGGAAAACTTGGTCACGTGGTACAAATTCGCGTTTGCCGTTTGACGTAACGAGATGATCAACCTCTTTATTGATCACCTGTATAACGTGAACACTGGCCTGGTTACTTAGTTCATAGACTAACGGTCTGTGGAGAGGCCACAAGACTATTGGCTCTTAGCAAAACCCTGTCACGTATTTGGATAGAACTTATCAACTGCTCCCTGGATAGCAAGCCATCCAAGGGTTCATTCGAGGGCCATCGATGAGCATTCCTAGTTTAATTACTCTGTTGAAAATAAACCGACATCACTGGATTACAAGACTTAAAGACGTTTCAATTAACCTAAGAAGGCTTCGCCCGATCACACCCAAAGTTTTGTGATCTGAATGAACGCTTGAATGGCTTGCCGTTCAGCGAGCCGTTGTTAAGCGGCCCAAGCATGTGGCTAAATCGTGCAAAGGACCAATCGCGCTCGTTGTTTTCTGTAACCATTTCACATCATGATTCTGTCGATGAAGCTACAGTTTTTACTTCTTACCCACGGAATATAACTGGTATTACAGAATCTAATGAACTTATCACGACGGGAAACAACTCGCCCCATGTTGGGGAATCCAAGAGACCCTTGGTGATCCTGGATTCCACGCCTTGGATTCCAGATACCAGGTACTGGATTCAGAATTCTTTGTCAGTGGAACTTGGATCCGAATTCCAATCGTTGATGGGATTGAGGGATTTCTTGAGCTGTATTCCGGATTCCAAACGCCACGATCATCACAACCGGGGGGAGAGGTAGGGGGTACTACCTTGTAAGAGGCTAATGGGCATGTGCCGCTGGATGGGGGTCGCATTTTCACGACTGGATTGACTTTCATGGGGTGGCATTTTCAATAGAGTTACTAGAATGGGGTCGCACATTTTCTGTAGTTTTCTGACAGTTCTTCATATTTACGGTTAGCAAACGTACCAGAATGTTTGTATTGTAGGTGAAAAGTAAAGTGTTCTTCATTCAATATACTGGGCCTGTACATACACAAATAGAAAGTGACTAAATTGGGATCGCGAAAATTACACATTTGCCCAAAAGTGACTAAGATAGCGTCTATAATTGGCCACAGAATGGACTACAATGGGGTAGGGGCTCCGAGAGGCCAGCGGCACATACCCTTCGGGTCATGACGTTTCCAGATTCCAAAAGAGAAATTTCCCGGATACCGGATTCGACAAGAAAACATGTACCGGAATGCGGATTCCTTTACATCGGGGCGAAGCAATGCATGGAAGTTCATGAATTTGTTACTTACCAGTACACCAAGTCCCATTTCCGTAGAATCCATTCTTACAGACGGCATAAATAAAACGCTTCGGTGTTGTAACATGACGCATTGACATGACATGTGTGGTCGTTGTTAGCACATTCGTCAATGCCTAACATGGAAAGAACAACGAATGTTTGAGAGAGTGAAAAGGCGGTTGTTACTTGGTGTTACTAAAGCAAGAATTTATGCTAATTAGTAGTTGCAAATGTCTATACTGAATATAACCATAAAACCACGAAACCGTGTAACGACTGTAACTACGAAAGCATGATGAATCCGCATCTACTAATTAGCATACATTCGTGCTCCGTAACACCAAGTTGTAGCCGGAAAGGCTAAATTCCAAAGTGCCTGTCAATTTTTCTTTTTGTCAATTGAAAGAACACATTTAATACCCTCAACTTACCGTGGCGCGTTGGTTTTGTTTGAACCCAGACTGGACACCTGTAACATGACTGCGGTATAACTGCTTTGTCTCTTTATTTCCAGATATTTTTCCTACACACAACCCTATGCGATACCTTCATGGTAAAAATACTGAATTTCCGGCCTCTGATTATACTAAGTGAGACTGGCATATACAATCTCTATTAATTTGATCCCCACGCGAGATCCCCGCCGACTTTCATATATATTATTGAGTACTCTCCCCTGGGAAACCCCTCTTAATCCACTCGTAACTTACACGGTTTGAGTAAATTGTAAGCACAATTCAAGCCTGATATATAGTTTCGGGACTCACCTTCATCATATACAAATAAAACAAGATCCATTTTCATATCCAGAAATGGTAAAAAAAAAAAAAAGAAAGAAAGAAAGAAAGAAAAAGAAAAGAAAAACAACAGTGCTCGCGAAAGCCTTTAACTAGCCTCCTAGGCAGACGTTCTTAGGAGTTCGTCACGCGCCTGCGTGGGAGGCTATTGGACAACGGACTTCTATATTTTTTATTGTTGTAACTTTTAATTTTCTTTCCATTTTACTTTCGGACTTTTAGGATGAGTTTAGGGTAAAAGTTTTTCGCCATTGAGTCCCACAAAGGTTAATTTACGTTCAACCTTGTCATGTTTTTCCATATCCGCCGAATGCTAGCTGTTGACTATTTTTGCGTTGTAGGATAAGCAAAAGCAGTCATTTTTTTAAGGTACAAGGCAGGAGCCCCATATATGGGCTCCTGACAAGGTCAGTAGTTACAGTACATCAATGCTGCCCGGGTGTTGCAAGCGGCCTTTGAGTTCAATTTTTTTTGTCGCAACTTTTATCCATAGGCCGTTTGCACGATGGCGTCATTTGACTACCACGACCAGGATCCTTCTCGTTCTTCCTTGGTTATAACAAAAGACTGAATAAGGAGGAGGAGACGTCATTTCGTTACGTTTCCATGTAAGTACCTCAGGAAAAAAATAACATTAATGACTTTCCTGTGCATGATTGCACTCAGGAACAAAACTTTGGACTTTCACTTTTCTTTCATCGCTCGGCAATGGAAATGGCCGTCACTTTCAAGAAAGATAATTTTGCTACCATGGTAATGTGACGTAACACTTCTCCTCTGTATTAATTGCACGATCAAGCAAAACTTTAAAGTGCTACTACGATCAAATTTGGAAATTTGTTTTTGATTACATATTTCGAAAATGTATGTAAAAGTGACTTACCGTGCCAAGTTTGGAGTCCAAATATGATCTGGAAGTGTGTTTATTTGCACGGCAATTTTCGTAAATGTCTTGCCGCCATTACTCGATTCAAAAAATGACCGGGAGTAGTATTTGAAGGAGTTGGGGCGAGATGTGACGTAGAAAAATCAACGCGACAAAACAAGGTAAACAAACCAGGCTAATTTCGCATGCAGGACGAGATATTTTGGAAGCTTTTGGAGGTTCTTTCTTCGCTTTTTTGACTTAAAGCGAAAGTATGCCTGGTAGACGTTGTGTTGTTCAGGACTGTGGAAACGTAAAGAACGATGAATTCTCCTGATTCGGGCAGCGTTAGATTAAAGTGGAAAAGGTTCGTGTCCATTCATCGGAAGGATTTCAACACAGTGGGAAAATTTGCTGTGTGCTCGGAGCATTTTACAAGGGATTGTTATACGCTTGCTTTTCTGATGAAAGGCATGAAAAGGAATTGGAAGAAGGGGACGTTTCCAACCATTTGGAAAAAATCCTCTCAAACACTATCAAAGCGGAGTCGACGATCGGTGAGTGAAATTACAATGTATTTGCGCTGTGCTTATCACTATTATATTTATTTCCCCATTTACCTGTGACATGATTTTTTCTGGCATCGTTGTTCAATATGAATGCTCTGACTATTTGGACTTCCCATATTGTTGCATGTGTTTTCATACTTTTCTGCTTTCTTCTCATAGTTATAGTAAAACGGGAATTTGCGCTGAGTGGACGTGAAGTCAATTCCCCAATTCCCAGACCTTTCCACTCAAGCGTAAAATTTAGAAAAAGTGAAGCTACATAGAAATCCGGCTCTCTATTTTTTGAGAGATTATCTTGCTGTTACTTTGAGATTTGACAGTACTCCAAACTTCCCTCCAAGAAATCTTACAGCAAATTAGGAGTTACACGCGAGTCTTTTAAAACGACCAAAAATGGACTTAGTCTGATTTCTACATTCTATAAGTTCAGTTACTGTTTGCGGGTTTTTTTTCGTTTGTATTTTAATTCTATTTTCACTGTCTGCAAATGATGCATACATTGTAAGGCAAAGATGCAGTTAAACCTTGCTTCCATTTCTACTTTTGAAAACATCGAGATAAAGCTCAAATTTAAACTTGTTTTGAAGGAGAGATATAAAAAATGGTCCTACCTATTTTCATTTTTAGCTACTAAATGAAATTCTGGCTGGTCAAACTACTAATGAGGATACAGAGGAAGAAGACAATCCTGAAGAAGAGGTGATGTCTTTGAAAGGAAGTTCTGCACCTGAGGAGAGTGCTGACACTATGGGGGCTCCCAATCTCAACCCTGAGGAGTCTCCAGAAGTCGAGGGTGTTCTGAACACAAGTCAGGGTTCTTTGCTTGAGGTAAATCCTGAAAAGGAGGACTGCATCCCTGAGACTGAGACGGGTGAGATAAGTGTTGATGCTGAGATGGCTTCAGAGGTCCTAGGTACTCCTGGTGATAAGACAACTCTCGAGAGCCAAGGGATGTCCGGCACTGATGATGTTACTGAGACCATGCAGATCCTGGAGGCTCAGGGAATCGAAAAAGTGCAGGATATGGATAAATTATGCAGATTGATGAATCATTAGCGATTCCTGAACTTGAACAGGTTTCTATGGTAGGCGCATAACTCTAATTAATGTTTATTTGCATCTTTGTATTATCATAACAATGGAAAACTACATGTGCAGTTATTTTACAACAATACTAAAACCCAAAAATTCTGAAGTCTTGTTATTACAGCCTGTATTAATGTTGAAAGTTTGTTTTTTGTAGGATACTCCAACTGGACATGCTGGGAACTGCACAACATGCAAAACCCTGAGGAGTGAGGTGACTCAGTTAAGGGGCAAAGTCACAAGACTGAAGAGTAAGTTAATCTCCAATCAAGATCAGTGGGTTGAAACCTTTAAGAGCATACAAGAGCCGAAGCAGTTGCCGATGGTAAATGCTGGTGAGTCAACAATAATTATTGATGTTGATGAGTCATATAGGCATAACTGCCTATCTTTATATTTTTATTACATTTTATCAATGTTTGATTATTTAATAATAATTAAAATTTTAATGGTTGGTAATAGAATTTTTTTAATTCCATTTGTTTAAGCTATTCAAACTGATCCATGGCCAGTAACAAATGAGACAGAGTTAGGGCTAGAGGATGAATCACAAGATGAGCAGGAAATGCAGGACGACGCATATGAGGAGTTTGAGTGTGATGAAGACCCTACATGGAGTCCTGAAGGAATCAAAGATGCATATAAAAAACTAAAGGAAGATGATGACTCGGTGAAGACTCATCAGAACCCAAGGTACAAAGATGCAAAATTTATTGCATTTTAACATCTAAGCTCTAAGTATCCTCTGGGAAGTGATTTAGGCCTAAAACTAACTTCCATTATGAGAGGATCTATTTAGAAACAAGAGTACATGAAATTTGTTTTTTAATTTACTCAGATAAGAATTGCAAAAAAAAAAAAAAAAGAGAGAAGAGGCATAGCCAGTCCATAGACTGGAAGTCCCAGGCCTAAAAATGTTTGGTTTGTCCACTCAACCACTTGTAATAAATTATGCATCGTTGGGGTGGGCTAGATAGCTTAAGGGCTCAAAGTTGTCATGTGTGCAATCAACAGAATTATTATAAAAAAGCATTTTTCAGGATGTATGTGAGAGTAAAATCCCAACCCACGATTAGCCAGGTTTACAACAAGTTGAAAAACTGGCAACACCCTGAGAAAAACAATAAAAATGATAATCATTTTTTTTATTGTTATTTTATTATTTCAGATGCTATGGTTAAATGAGTATTTCCTTTCAATCATTTCTTACAGGTTGGATCTACAAGGAAAAAACATTCGAGAGGAACCGAAGGGAATTGTTTTCCTTTCCAATCTTCTTCTTTTGTTTCAGTTCTGCCACTTGTGCTTCTTTTCAAAACCCAAACTTTCTGTATCACAGACAGGTACCTTGTTTACCGTAGAAAGTTTCTGCAGAAACTGTAGCCAGACAAAAGTCTGGAAGAGTCAACCAGACCTGCTAGGAAAGTTTCCAGCAGGTAACCTGCTATTAAGTTTTGCAGTGCTCTGTGAGCCGAGTGAAAAAAAAGAAACGATACATTAAAACTGTAATTAAATTCAGGCTGAATTCGATTTAATTTTTATTACTTGTGTACATGAAAATTGGAGCAACATCAGAATTCCCAGCCACTAAACTTGAGTTTAACTGAACGCTAGAAGAACAGGGCTTCACACAGTGGGCAAGTTTGTCATTCAACAAAAAGCGAGTAAGTGGCTGAGAATTCTGAAGTTTGGCCCATAAAATTAAGTGTTTACGGACAAGTATTCA